TTTAAAAAAAAAACAACCGAGGCTTCCTAACACAAAAATTGTATCTGGTGTCAACTTCGCACTTTATTTATATATAAAAAAAAAGTCCTAATCTAAAAAAATACTTCGCCCAACCCACGCACCCATAATAGAGCCCCTAACTCGGCCGATTTCTCACGGAGACAAAACGAAGACGCCAGAAGCACTCATTTCCTCCAATATCAAATTCCAAGAACGAGACTCCAAGAACGACGACTCCAAAGAACGACGACTCCAAAGAACGACGACTCCAAAAACGACGACTCCAAGAACGACGACTCCAAGAAAAGAAGCAACTAAAAAAAAGAGAGAAGTTAGTACCCGTAACAAAAAAAAAAAAAATAGTAAAAAAAAAAAAAAACAATTAAATCTTCAAATGTCTCGACTTCCACTACTACGACGATTCCAAGAACGGCGAGAAGAATGACTCCAAGATCGACGGCTCCAAGAAAAGAAGCACCTAAAAAAAGAGAGAAGTTAGTACCCGTAACAAAAAAAAAACTAAATAATAAAAAAAAAAAAACACTTAAATCGACAAAGGTCTCGACTCCCACGACGATTCCAAGAACAACGACCAAGACGACGACTCCAAAAACAACGACTCCAAGAACGACGACTCCAAGAAAAGAAGCAACTAATAAAAGGAAAGAAGTGAGTACCCGTAACAAAAAAAAAAAAATTTTTACTTATCTAGCTGTTAGTATCGCGAATGAAAAAAAAAACCTAGATTTACCTGTAGATCGATCTAAATCCAGATCGAATCTAGTACTCCGGAGAAAGTAGCTTAGTGGTGGCGAAAAAGAGCGCAATCACGTGATCTTTGTCCACTAATATTGCAAGATCAGGTGTAACGTAGCACAAACAGGAAAATTCAAAACAAACGTTCGTTTTTTCAAAAACCGCTAATAACTCAAAATTTTGCTTATGAAACCGTCTTTGGTGTCTTAATAAAAAAAATTTCTTGCAAAATTTTACATTTAATACGGTCTTTAAGCACCTTAGTGCTAAACAATACATACCCTAAAGAAAGATTTATAATTTAATACTTCGTTGTTTTGATTTTACATTACACCTGATCTTGTAATGTGATTGGACAAAAACAATCATGTGATTGCGCTCTTTTTCGCCACCACTAAGTTACTATCCTATTGCGAGTCATTAAAGTTAACACTAAAAGATGCTGGTGAAATTAAACTAGCTACTAGTGAAATTGGTGTTGAATTAGTAAAATTAATTTCACCAGCATCTTTAATTGACAACCCATGTTAGAAAATAAAACAGATTTCCTTATACAAGTTTTCTAAATCTACCTTTTTTGCTATCTACTTTACATTGTATATCAATAAAATGACATGGCCCCCATTAAGTTAATATCAAGGAGTTGCAACTGTATTCAATGTATATATTTAATTGAATTAAAAATCAAAACAACTACTATTAAAAGCAATACCAACAACGCTAATAGCAACGAATTTCTATCATATCAAAAATTACATATAAACTCGTATAAAGATAGCTTATGAAAATCGAAGATAACATTGTA